TTCCAAGTTCATGCAAATTTTAGATAAATTACTGATGCTGCAAAATTGCGCTGCGTCAGTGACAGTGAGACAAATATTACAACAAATACTGTAGAAATAAAACTGATTTGACCCTTCGTCTGCTTACAAGAAGCATATATCCCTCATTTGCAGAGGTTCTCAAATATGGTTCTTTATCCATATTATTGGCTTATTTAGAATGCTCCAGGGAATAAAACTTGTCTTTTTATTTAATAAATGTGGGTATACCTAAGCTGACTAGGAAATCTATAATTGTTTTATTGTTTTACAGGAAATCTTATTTTTGTCTCTAATCCTTTTTAGGCTACCAAATTAATGTGATTTACAACTTACCTTAGTGTATCGGCAGTCTTTGTGATACTCAGGTAGGCACCCGGTACTGGTTTTAAACTGTTCATTAAGGCAATCTCGTCTACATTAAAGAATACTATGTGAATTCTTGGATCCAAAATTCCGCAGAGCACCTCTGTCACGTATGATATGAGGAGATCACCTTCTTGGTCGGGTGTACCCGAAGTGAGCAAATAGATTCCGTTCGGCCCAATATGAGAGGAAGATTCATCAATGTTTTCTAGAGCCATTCTTTTGAAAAGATACATTCATAAATAAAAAATAGGAATATCGTAACAATTGAAGACTATCTTCTACAGTTTTTCAGATTCATTTATGCTAATATTTTTATTACGTCAGATTTAAGCAAATAGTAAATTAACTTGTGGGAACCTAAAACTATCATGGCTTCCTTTTGATTTAGCAAATACTTAATAGATCATTTATTAAGCCACAATTTAAAAAATAGATAGGCAGACCTTCTACACATAGGCCATTTCTCAAAGTATTTTGAGCAATCTTTAAAGCCATTCATGTTATGTGGTTGGGAATAGTGTGCTTTGAAGCCATAAAGAGCCTAAGCATTGTTGAAGTCTACTAGCATAAATAAAAAGAAATCCCCATATTTGACATAAGCTAAAATAGCTTTGTTATGTCTTGAAGGCAGCATTTTTCGTGTAAAATAATGGACTAGGATCTTGTAGCTTAGAGTTTAAAGAACCCTTACATTCAGCATTTGATCCCGCTGAGGATGTTGAAAAAACTAGGTGAGGTTAAAATTGCAACCAACCCCGAATGAGAAAGGCTGTTTGAGGGGCATAGCGCAGTGGGATTCAATATAAAAAACTAAGCCCTTTATTTGCACTATCTCGGGAGAATTCCTAATCAGTCTAGTAAAAACCATTTGATGTTTGCACGCCTCAAAAGTCTTGTTGTATTCAGAATCCAAAGCGTCAACTAAGTCTGAATGCTTCATCATTCCCAAGACAGAAAATCTGTGAGTATTAGC